ATATTGAATTAAATTCTTAAAAAAACCTTTGTTTAAAATTTAAGAATAAGATTATAGAATTTTTCTTAATTAATCTTTTGTTAATCGTAAAAAAATTAGGTTGATAAAAATTTATATCAGATTTTTTCTTTTAGATTTATAAATTGCTTTCTTTAAAATCAATTAATTCAGTTTATTTGACTGTGTAAATTATTGTAAAATTGCGAAACAATAATTTTCGATAGTAATTGTTAAGTTTTTTTTAAATTTTTCAACAATTTTTTTTCAGAAAATAAAATTTAAGTTTCTTTAAATAGTTATTTTTTAATAAAATAATAATTTATCAATATTTGATTCTTCAATGTTATTAGAGTCAAATTCATTACAAATTTAGAATATTATTTAAATAAAATATAATCAGTAAAAGATTTTATTTATTAAGATTATTAATTTTAAATATGAATTCTATATTTATTCATATTTATAGTCATATTTTTGTTGATTTTAAAATATAGAAAAATATTTAAATAACGTTTATTTTTATTTATACAATTCAATTTAAAAAGATGATTAATAACAAGCTTTTTTAAAGTATCCTCTATAGTTTATCAATTACATTCTGATATTACTTTATTTGACTTGCAAAGCATTATTTCAATTTTAGAATCATAAATACAAGTATTAATGGAATTATTTTTTAAAATTATTAATATTGAATGGCATTACTTGTTCATTTATTATCTGCCATTAAAATTATAATTAATCATTTTCAAGATATTTAATTTTGGAATTGTATTTTATGCAATTAAAATTTAGATTTTGATTCATCTATTTGATTCTAATTATATGACAATTTATAAGAGATCATAAGAGCATTTAATACACTTTTACATCTATAAACGAATACTTAATATTGGCAGATTCAAAATATTTAAAATTATGATTAACACATGTTTTAAGGTAATTGTTTATTCATTAAGTTAAAACAAAATCAAAGGCATTTTGTTTATTTTTACATGTTTATTAATTTAATCTAAATAAAATTTGAAGTTTCTCAATTTCACATTAATTTCTGTCCATTTGGATTAATCTTAAAGTCTAACATAGTTTTTTAATGAACTTGTGCACAGACTTAGTGGATCTAAATTTTTAAGACTATAATCTATATTTACATGAATTATATTTATTAAGTTATGGGCAAGTTATACCTTCAAAATCTATTGATTTATTTGTTTATCCAAGAAAATAAAAATTATTTATTTTCGTGTACTTAAGTTTAGATGATTAATACAATACCAATTAACTTTAAATTGATTAATTTATTAACATTTCTAATCTAATATTTAAATTGAATTGTGAATATAATGGTAAATGTTTGCATTTTTAATTTTTAAATCCACTTCCATTTTAATATTAAATTTCATCCTAAATATTATCGTTTTTGTGTGACATATTCTAAATCATGATTAATAGGTATCAAAAATACATTTGATTAATTATAGAAAAAAATTTTATCTGCTCTACTACGATGATTTGGATTTATTTTTTGTTTTGAAACATGATTAATTGTTATCATTAACCTATATAAATTGTTATGTATTATGAATTATTATTTTTAAAATTGGTCTATGATTTAACAATTTTCTCCATTAGTTTATATAAGCTTTCAAATTATGCTATAAACATGTTATATCATTCAGAATTGTAAAAAAGTATCCATAGTATCTTTAATTAGTAGATTAAATTTTTAATCATTGAACAAACTAGTTTAAATGTATTCTCAAAGTTAATTTAATCTATATTTATTTATAATAATTTTTTCAGATTCTTCTCAATCAATTAATGTAATAGATTTAGCTTAATATTTATTATCAAAATAAGTACAGTAATTACAATTTATTAATTAATTTGACACATCAGATTCAATGATCTGCTTAATCTGATTGCATAATTTTGATTATCTGCACAATTAGAAAAAATTCCAGAATAATTTTTACAATTATTTTCTGCAATATCACAGAAATAATTTTAAACATTTTTAAGTAATAAATTATAAATAAATTCATTTTTATCTTAATCAAAATAAGTTAAAGAATCTTAAACATTATATCCAAA